GAGCGTATGCTGCTACACAGATCACCGTGACTCTCAGAAAATATTGTCAATGCTGTGTTACTGGAACTGCACACAAGACACAGACTTATTAACCAAGTGATTGGTCACATTTAACCCCCCTGGAGGTATTCCTGAGTGTAGCTCGGGGTAAAGTTTCAGCACCACAAGCGGTAACCCTGAGCTACACTTGGGAATACACTGTATTCCCGAGTATTCCCGAGCAACACAGCGTTGCTCCGAGATCTCTTCTTCACTTACCTTGTCCTGCGCTCCCGCGATGTCCCCCCTGCAGTGTCCCCGGCAATGTCCTCCGGCCGATGCCGGCATCCGTCTTTCAGGTTCCGTTCCCTGCGACGTCGGGACGTACGGGGGACGGAACTGGCGGGAAATTTGAAAGTTGTAAAAGTGACATTCACTAAATACACTAAAATCACATAGTATAACATTCCTGTATCAAACCATTTCACATACATTTTGTCCCGAGTGCTTTGTCCGGCACCCTGCCTGCATTTTTACTGTTCTTTCTGCCTGGAAACTGAGAAACGTCCATGGCGTCCAAAAAGCGTCCCTTTAGGTCAAAAGCGGTTTTAGACCGGCTAGAGAACAGCGATAGTAAATCAGAACCACTTGCAGAATTGAGTGATAATGATTCGTGGGGGAAATTCCTCATCAGACACTGAAAACGATTTTGCGACTGAACTCAGTGATGTGCGAACTTGGCGCTCTATTTCACATTTCAGTGTTTTTGGTTTGATTATATTATTGAATTAAATTTATTATTATATTATTATTTTTTATGATTATTTATTACATTATAATTTATGATTTCGTGTTTCAAATTTTATCCTACCCGGGATGTTTACTAGACTCTTGTTCGGACAGATTTCAGTGAGTTATTCCTAAAAATTACAGGCCTACAATAAAAAAAATACAAATTTCCATGCAAAAAAATGTACCGCTTTGAGCACAGACATACTGATATAATCAGACTGCTGGGGAGGTTAAGGACTCCCTTTAGACAGGCCGTAATATATACCACCCTCTGAAAAGTGATCTGCTGTGGATTGCTTTTCAGAGGGTGGCATAGCAGTGGGTGTCAAATGTTTTTAAGGTTTTTTTTTTTTTTTTTTTTTTTAATCGCCAGGACCTCACCCCAATTGCGAGGCAAGTGTTAGGCCTCATGCACAGGACCTTTTTTTTTTTTTTTTTTCTTCCCTTAGCCATGTTATGCATGTGCATTTATGCATGGTCGCACGTTTGCCATTAATGTATTTAGTTGGCCAGAATATTTATTTATTTATTGGCCTTAGGGTTAATGCACGTTTGACATTTTTTCCACCCAAACGCTCCTCTTATAAACGCGTAAAATTATTGTTATTATTATACAGGATTTATATAGTGCCAGTCGTTTGCTCAGTGATTTACAATATAACGGGAGACAATACAGCAACAATACAGTTCAATACAAGAGGGTTAGGAGGGCCCTGATCCTGGGAGCTTACAATCTAGGAGGGAGGGGCTAGTAGTACAAGAGGTAGTAACTGTGGGGGATGGACTGGTAGGAGGAATAGAAGATTCCATTATTAGCTGAGGGCAGGATAGGCTTCCCTGAAGAGATGATATTTTTTTCTCTAAATCAGTGTTTCTCAACCTTTTTTTCGGTTAAGGCACCCTCTAAAATTATGGATAGTCCCGAGGCACCCTCTAAAATTATGGATAGTCCCGAGGCACCCTCTAAAATTATGGATAGTCCCGAGGCACCCTCTAAAATTATGGATAGTCCCGAGGCACCCTCTAAAATTATGGACAGTCCCGAGGCACCCTCTAAAATTATGGACAGTCCCGAGGCACCCTCTAATGTTATGGACAGTCTCGAGGCACCCCATTCTAAAATGTGCAAAACTATTCTAATAGTTTTATATACCTCAGCAACATCCACACATGTAGGACACCCAACATTAGAGGGTATTTATCCTCCCAAAGCAAATACGCTTTTGCACACTGGTACTGACTAGTATTCCAATGTTTCTCCTCTCCCTCAGTTTTTCTCCATCACTGAGCTAATGTGACCCCAGCACTGATGGAGAGGGGAGGGGGAGGGTCAAACTAGGATGCTGTGCAGGCAGCTGACATCCTCCTTATCAACTGATGATGTCATTGGTTGTCAGGATGCTGTCGGTTAGAAGGTTTGAATGGTGCACAATGAAAACCTGTGGCTTTGTGTAACTAAAAGGCGGGCTTGTTCCACCCGCTGGCTTTTATACAGGTTTGGGGCAATTTTTAGAAATTTTGCCAATGCACCCCTGAAGAAACCTAAAGGCACCCCAGGGTGCCCGGGCACCCTGGTTGAGAAAGGCTGCTCTAAACACTTCTGTCTCTATATGTCTGTAAACAGTATAAGGTTGATTTACTAAAGGCAAATAGACTGTGCACTCTGCTAGTGCAGTTGCTTCAGAGCTTGGTAAATGAGCAGACGCTCTGCTGACTTCCATCATCCAATCATGTGCAAGCAAAAATGCTGTTTTTTTTTTTATTTTATTTTCCTTGCATGTGATTTGGTATTCTTTACAAAGTAAAGGTTCACCTCATTTACTAAGCTCCAGAGCAACTGCACTTCCAGAGTGCACAGTCTGTTTGCCTTTAGTAAACCAACCCCCCTATGTGTGCATGGACACATGGGCTAACACAGGGGGCATTGAGCTGGAGTTTTACTTTAGTGTTCCAGGTGTTATTAGAAGGAAGCAGCATTACTCTTGGAATGTAAATCATAAAGTGGGTCTAAAGGCTGAAGGTTTTTTTTTTTACCTTAAGACATTCTCTGCATCAAAGCGAGCTGCACCCAAAAGGGGAAAGCGCTTTAAAGATAGGTCCCCCGCTCCCCATTAAGGATTGGCACCTTTGGGGAGTGTGGGGGGAACGGGTACCTGAAATTGACAGGTACCCACTCCCACTTCCTCTGCGATTGCCTAGGCCAGGGGTAGGCAACCTGTGGCTCTCTAGCTGTTGTGGAACTACATTTCCCATGAGGCATTGCAAAGATTACAAAACTGACAGTTACAGCTATGACTTGCAGAGGCATGATGGAACTTGTAGTCCTGCGGCTCTCAGGTTGCCTACCCCTGGCCTATGCGATCGGAAGTTGAAACACACACACACCCTCACCGTAGTTTTCTGGGACTATGGGACCTTTCAGAAAGCACAGTGCTACTCGCACATGCGCAGCGGGCGCCCGGCTGTTTTTATAGCTGCTGACATTTATTTTTTTTTACAGTGTGACTGGACTCTACTTTAACCATTTGCCCTTCACTTCAGAGGATTTACCCCCCTTCCTGACCAGGCCATTTTTTGCTATATGGTGCTATGTTACTTTAACTGAAATTTACATCCTTTTTTGAGCTTTCTTTCGGTGGTATTTCATTGCCTGTGCGGTTTATCATTTTTTTTTTGCGCTATAAACAAAAAAATACCGACAATTTTGAGAAAAAAACAATATTTTTAACTTTTTGCTATTAAATGTCCAGTAAAAAAATCAAATTTCATCACAAATTTAGGCCATAATGTATTCTGCGACATGTCTTTGCTAAAAAAAAATCCCAATACGTGTAAATTACATGTAAGCATCTACAAATGGCGGTGTATATATACTGGAATTTTTAATATATATATATATATATATATATATATATATATATATATATATATATACTAGTAATGCGGGACTGCGGCAGCATTCTGACACTGGGGGGGGGGACTGGCTAACTGTCACTGACATCCCCAGTGACACAAATACAGTGATCAGTGCTAATGACACTGGGCAGAAAGGGGTTAACATCTGGGCCAATCAAAGGGTTAATTGTGTGCTGTGTGTGTGTTTTACTGTGTTAGCACATTGCTTTGTATTGCTCTGCTATGCAGAGCAATATATATGAAAAGAGTAGCGATTATTTATGGTCAAATGCTAGAATGGTGATCTTATTGATATGGAGATTAATATGTTCATATGTATGCTATGCAGAGCAATACAAAGCAGTGTGCAGGGGAGAGATTTGTATTGTTTACATACAGACCTCTCCCCCGTCAGTGATACTCAGCGATTGCCAGGTGCCGGCGGGGAATCACCAGCTGGGACCCGGTGATAGACAGTTGAAGCCCCTAGTGGCAGCAGCGTGGGTAAGTGGTGCGTGTGGCTCGCGCAGGAACCCTTACCCAGAAATGCAAAATCAAGTATATATCTGTGATTTTGCGCAGCTCTGCCGCCCTGTAGCAGTATTTCCGCTAGAGGGCTTTGGGAAAGCGGATAAGGTAAAAAAAACCTTCTGTTGCTAGTTCCCCTCCCCCAGCTCCCCCAAATACTTACCTGAGCCTCATATCAATCAGGAGCTGCTCTCTCTCTCCCACTTCACTGGACTCAGTCGGAGCCATTTGTTTCTGCTGCGGTCAATCAAATCCAATGACAAGGGGGTGGGGCCGAGCTGCACTTTGTCAATAGACACACAGAGCACAGCTTGGGATCAAGCCCACACGTGTGCTGCCATAGGAAGCAGCTTCCTGTGGTTGCATATGGAGAAGAGGAGGAGTTTAGAGCACCAGCTGGGGACCCCAGAAGAGGAGGATCGGGGTCTTGTTCAGAGAATATCTTCTCTTTACTACCTAAAAACGGATATTGCACCACTGTGTTTGTTTTAAAAATACACGTTAGAACTTTTTTTTAGAGTAAAGTTATTCAGTAAAAATGTTTTGAATTATTATTTATTCCCTGATCTCTTCCAATGCAGGTGACACATACAATACTTTGAGGCATACACACCTAAAGCCAACTTCAGTTTACCTAATCTATAATATGTTATTGTTAAAGCTGACTACATAATACATCATACAAATAACAAAGTGATTATAAAAGTGATTCTCATTATTGTATGTTTTTTTTTTTTTTTGTTTTTTTTTGTAGAAATGAGGATGGTAGTAAAACAAGACGGGTGCCCTTTTTCTCTACCAAGTACAGAACAAGACCTGGGACCGATTTAGGTATACAGTGTGCTTGGCCTACTCATGTAGCAGTCCTGGGAAGCCTTTGCTTTTATTGACTGTGTTTATGAATTTCAGGCAGCTCCGTGGAGTTCCCTGTATTTCTTAGAGATTCTCTCGAAGTTCTCTATCTGAATGATAACCAGCTCGACACCTTTCCACATTCGGTATGCCAGCTGAAGAGTTTAACTGAGCTGTATTTGGGGAGGTAAGTAATGAGAATGATAATATCTATAGTGTGTGTGTATGTGTGTGTGTGTGTCTTTTGCACAAAAAACTATCGTGCGTATATATATATATATAAACAGTATTATTATACAGGATTTATATAGCGCCAACAGTTTGCTCAGCGCTTTACAATATAAAGGGAGACAATACAGCAACAATACAGTTCAATACAAGAGGGATAGGAGGGCCCTGCTCCTGGGAGCTTACAATCTAAGAGGGAGGGGCTAGTGGTACAAAAGGTAGTAACTGTGGGGGATGGACTGGTAGGAAGAGTAGAAGATTCCATTATTAGCTGAGGGCAGGATAGGCTCCCCTGTAGAGAGGTTTTCAGAGATCGCCTAAAAGTGAGCAGAGTAGGCGATAGTCTGATAAATTGGGGTAGAGCGTTCCAGAGGATGGGGGAAGCTCTGGAGAAGTCCTGGAGATGAGCATGGTAGGAGGAGAGAAGGGAGCTAGAGAGCAGGAGGTCTTGTGAGGAGCGGAGAGTATGGTTTGGGTGATATTTAGAGACAAGACAGTAGAGATTATTTATGGTCAAATGCTAGATTGGTGATCCTATTGATATGGAGATGAATATGTTAGCATGTACATCAATTACAAACTCATTGAAAGTGATCACATTGCAAGAATTAAAGGATAAGTTGCCCTTTCTCAACATGTTACTTGGTACACTCACATGTAGCGTGTAACATGTAACAAGTTATGATCAGACTGGTCCCCCGATCTCCGCTTTGACAGCTAGCGGGGAATCTTTCCCCCCGCTAGCTGTCAAATTTTTTAAAAAAAATGGCTCTGTGCTCTGTGGGGCTCCACCCACATGGCCACGGCACTCATTCACACTCATCTGTGAATGAGAGACTACCAGTCCCGACAGCCTTAGCAGCTGTCAGCTTGTAGTCCTTAATGAGCTGCCACAGCGCAGTCAAGTGCCATGGTAGTTCATTCATTCTTCCTGTTCGTACATCCCATATGGGCAAGCAGATATACTGACAGGTCTGCAGGAGACTCGCATGGCATCAGTGATCTGCTGATCGCTGGTGCAATGCTTTTCAGGCTCCTGCAGACAAAAATAATAAATGCACATTTTTTTAACTGCAAAAAGATGTGCATTTTATTATTTAAAAGGTGAATTTATCCTTTAAACAATAAGGTCACCTTTCTCAACATATTGCATGTTCAGATTCAGGGAAGTGCACGCACACCGCCGCTGGCTTGCTTCTGCTGTGAACCGATCTATGAAAATTTCATAAATGATTCTGGGCTGAAGTAAATAGACTGAAAAAAAACAGCAAACAAGTTTGAGTATGGAGTATTAAGAGAAGGGAGGAATTCCTCTGTGCTACCCTAAGTACCGCCATATTGGAAATCCATTATCACTTGATAAGATTGCCGGCCTTTTTGGGGATAGGCGATTATGGAAAGTGGAGGAGAGGAAGCATATCGGCACCGATAGACCCTTCATCCCACCGAGAGATATTTATTGAGCCATTTTTACCAACCATGAGAGTGGGAGGCAACACTTGCTGGTGAGTGTACACCTGATGGGGGGAACACTATTTCCTTTTTCAAGTGCTGGTTACTTTGAGGAGTTTGAAGAATCGTTTGGTGGATAAGGATTATTCTTTGGACTTTTCTTGGGACTACACACTTATTTATTTTTTCACATATATTCTTTCACGTATTTATTTATGCGCTACTTGATCACTTTTGAGTGTTCATTTATGTGTTACATATTACATGTTACACCCGTATTTAGGGTGTAACATGTTACATGTTGAGCATCCACCACCTCACTCCCCCGGCCCCACTCCACCCCGAACCCCCTTTTCCCTGTGACAGTGGGCAAGGGATCTTCTCCCCGTACCCGCTGTCACAGTTTGAAACCAGCGCAGCCGTGTGGGTCTCCGCCCCCCATGGCCACATCATTCATTCACAGAGTTCTGCAAATTAATGAACTACCGCTACCGTCAGCCATTGCAGCTGACTGTTTGTAGTTCTTAATGAACTGTGAGGGCATGGTGAGCGATCTCGTAGTCCACGGGTGTCAAACTGGGGCCCTCCAGCTGTTTCCAAACTAAAAGTACCATGAGGCATTGCAAGATTGACAGCTACAAGCATGACTCCCAAAGGCAGAGGCATGGTGGGAGACAGGCATGGTGTACTGACAGTGCAATGCTTTACAGGCTCCCAAGAAAAAAAATTGCTAATTTTCTGCTTGCAAAAAAGTTAATTTGTTATTTTTTTTAAGGTGACCGTGTCCTTTAAACCAGAAACAGGAACTGGAGCAGACACTGAGTCGGTCCTGCAAGTATATTAAAGCGGAGCTCCACGCAAAAGGACTGCTCCCCCACTCCCCATTAAGGACTGACACCTTTGGGGGGCGGGTACCGGAATTTTACAGGCACCCACTTCCACTTCTGGTCCGATCGCCTAGGCGATCGGAAGCAGAAGGTGTCCTCCCTCCCTGTAGTCTTTTGGTACAAGTGACAGGTCCCAGAAAACGACAGGACCTTTCATGAAGCGCAGCGCTACTCACGCATGCGCAGTGGGTACCCGGCTGTGAAGCCGCAAGCTACCACAGCCAGGTGCCCCACACTGAAGATGCCGGCGCCTGGAATACAGGACGGCCGATGAAACAGTCTGCGGGGGGGACACCACGGGACCGAGAGACAGATAAGTGGCTGTTTTTTAAAAGTCAGCAGCTACAGTTTTTGTAGCTGCTGACTTTTATTTTTTGACAGCGTGAGTAGAACTTCACTTTAACATACCTTGTAGAGTGCCACACTGTCAGGATGCTTTTTACTGTAAAGTCTGACCTGTGTCTATGATGAAGAGTTCTAGTCTGCCCCTTTTAATGTCTCACAATTGGCCCGGGAGACCATCCATCATAGTTATGGGCCACTATTAGTTGAATGAATGTTAATTTATTGAACACACTGGATTTCGAGTTTTGCAAAGCAATCTAGGTGCTGCTGGTTTAGTTGTGTAGCTCAGCCACATCAGTGTATTCTCTTCTGTAGTAATCCAGGTATAAAGGAGCTTCCACCTGAACTTGGTCAGCTTTCATCTCTGTGGCAGTTGGATCTTGAGGACCTTAACATCTCAAACCTGCCTGCAGAAATCCGGAAGGAAGGTAAGTAGCTAACTATATGCAGATACAATACCATGGGCTCAGCTGACATTTCGTTTTTCTACATGCTCATCTTCTGGTTTTCTCTGTATAGGACCAGTGACCATACTGGCTTACCTGCGTGCCCAGCTGAGAAAAGCAGAGAGGTGTCGACTTGTGAAGATGATCATAGTAGGACCTCCACGGCAAGGGAAAACCACTCTGTTTGAGGTCTTGCAGACAGGAAAAGTATCCCAGCAAATGCAAGGAGATAGTACAATCCGGACTACCCGCTGGGAGCTGCAGAGGCCTATGGGCATTAAGGGAAAGGTGATTATTAGGGTGGTCGCTCCCTCACATTAAGTAAACTGATGTTTCAGCCAAAAATGAAAGCTGGTGAGGCCTTCTAAGAATGATGAGATGTTCTGTGTTACTTGTTATTGTAATTTAGAGGCATTTGAGTAATCAACACCTTTCATTTGCCCCATAGGGATTAATCCTTGCCGAATTTTCACAAGAGATGCTCAAACTGGGCTAGGTTGTTGGTCACCTTCAAAGTGGTTGTAAACTTTTACATATACCCAATGACGGGACTAGCCTTAGGTGATACACAGAGATGAAACAAATCCTCCTACATAAGTTGTACTTGTTTATCTGCAGCCCTCTCTCATCTACAACCATTCAAAATCCAGAATTTTCCCTGAAAAGAAGGCAAGTGGGCGAAGGCAGTGTGATGCTTTGTCTAGTGTGAATGCCTCAGTGGGTCAGGGCTGTTTTGGCAGTAAAAGGGGGATCTAATCAATATTAGGTGGGTGGTTATAATGTTATGGCTGATTGGTGTAGATGCGGCTCTATGGATAAAGGCCCACTTCTCTGAGGCTGCAAATATATGTCTACGCTTGGTGGGAGGGGATCACATTATTTTTTGGTCGAGAACGGGGAGTTTTTTGAGCACCATTACACTTTTTAATTTTGATTTCAAAACTTTGTCTTTAAAGTTTAATGAGCACACGATAAATGGTTGTCAAACAGCCATGGCCAAGACGCAGGTGACAGATATAATGGGGTACATTTATCAAAGTCAGGAAATCCTTTGTGTTGAACCTACCTGACATGCAAACATTTTCCAGCTTATTACAAAAAAAAGCAGCAGGGATAGGAAAAAACTGCTTTCAATGATAACATGGCATTAAATCAATATTTTCTGGTTTTCCTGTGATAAAAGGATTGAAAGCCACAGGGGTCCCGAAACTAGCAGAATCCTCCTGTCACAGATGAAGGATTCACTATGCCACTTGTTCCCGCATACAGCTCATGACATTTAAAGGGCATACTAGCTGTTAATAAAGAGGTGACAATTGTAGAGACGTGTGGGCAAAATATATTACACTGCACCGGGTGACACCGACCTCACAGGGTGACACCAGACCCGCTCCACAAAAAGGTAAGTTGTAAAGCAAGCCGACGATCCCCACAGGATGGATGGGATCTGTGGATTGGGGAGCATAATGGATCGGACTCCGATCCATTATGCTCAATCCGCAGATCCGAACCATCCTGTGGGGATGGTTGGCATGCAACCTATACGGGGTGACACCGGACCCGCTCCACAAAAAGGTAAGTTGTAAAGAAAGCCTACGATCCCTGCAGGATGGATCAGATCTGCGGATTGAGCATAATGGATCGGAATCCGATCCATTATGCTCAATCCGCAGATCCGATCCATTCTGCAGGGATCGTCGGAGGGGGTGTCACCAAGTGTTACCACACCGGGTGACACCAACCCTAGGGACGCCCCTGCCTATGCTGTAAATTTCCAAACTTTTCCAGACCTTACTTTTTGTTTGTCTGTGTTCATAGCTATTCAAAATTTGGAATTTTTTGTGATCCTTGCTGCCTACCTACCTACCTACCTACCTTTTTTAACTTGTTGTTTTAGTTATGACTTCTTTTATACCTAACATTGTTTCACCTTATTTAATCACTTACCCTCCAGAGGATTTACCCCCCTTTATGACCAGGCCATTTTTTGTGATACGGCGCGTCTTTCCTTTAACTGACAATTGCGCGGCCATGTAAAGATCTTTGTATTTTTTTTTTGCCCACAAATAGAGCTTTCAGTGGTATTTGATCACCTCTGCTTTTTTCTATTTTTTTTTGTTATAAACAAAAAAAGACTGACAATTTTGAAAAAAAAAAAAGTATTTTTGACTTTTTGCAATAAAAGATATCCAATAAAAAAATTAAAAAAATCTAATTTCGCTATAAATTTTGCCCAAAATGTTTTCTGCTCCATGTTTTTGCTAAAAAAAAATCCCCAATACGTGTAAATTAATTGGTTTACATGAAAGTTATAGCATTTACAAATGGTGGTATAGATACTGGAATTTTTTTTTTATTTTATACTAGTAATGGCGGCGATCAGTGACTTATAGCGAGACTGCGGCAGGTCTTCTGACACTGAGTGCGAACTGAATAACAGCTACTGACATCCCCAGTGACACCAATACAGTGATCAGTGCTAATAAAAAGCACTGACACTGTACTAATAGCACTGGGCAGGACGGGGTTAACATCTGGGGTGATCAAAGGGTTAACTATGTGCTGTGTGTTTTACTGTGTGTGTGTTTTACTAAAGAGACATGCTACAGCATGTAGAGATACAAAACAGCATGCCCATGCTGACAGAAGAGAGACCTGTATTGTTTACGCACAGGTCTCTCCCATGTCAGCTTTCCCCCACGATTGCTGGGTGGCAGCAGGGAATCACCAGCCGTGACCAAGTGACTGACATCTGCAGCCACCAGTGGTGGGGGGTAGGGCGGTGCGCGTGTGTGCAAATTAAGGCAATCCCATGGGGATCCCTCAGGTCACCAGAATTAGTGTCCCCATTGAATGATTTCCTCTCTATCACTTTTCTGAGGACAACCTAAAATTTGGAATTTTCTTTCATTTTTACATGTCCTGGCGAACAGGACAAAATAGAGAAGGGGGATCTCCCTAACGGGGGCACAGACAACAATAAAAACCTGACAGGTGTTGTAATCCCTCTCCACTCTATCCAAAACTATAAAAAAAAATATGTTTGCCTTCAGTTACCCTTTGTGTGCCTGTGATAGCTCATTGGTTTTATTAACCCCTGTGCATTGGAAGATTATGTCACAAGGAAGCACAAGGAACACATCACACTGAAGGTAAGTAATGTCCCTTGCGCTAATTCTTTTTTTTTTTTTTTAAGTGAACTTAGGCTTTAAATGAAAAACAGAATATAAAATAAAGTCAATAAAAAAAGAATTAAAATTTAAAACCAATCCCCTGAGCACACACCTGAATGTAAACCGTGTTTTATACCATGTTTATGGAGTGAGAGTCATTTTAGAGCTATTATTCAGTTAACTGTAAATGATAAGCTGGAAAAGATATTTAAAGCAATGCTTATAGATCATTTTGGGGACTCTAGTTTTTCGGCATTTCACAGGCACACGCAAATTTAAGGCTTAAACTGTTTGGTATCTATTTACTTAAAGCCACCACATATTTTGCCCCTGAAAAATGGGCATTTATATTGTGTCTTGTATGCACTACAATTCATTTTAGTGTATTTTCCTGAAAATATAAATTTGAGCAACATAAAAATTTGCAGCTGCCACCATTTTATTCTTGTGCTTGTGCTGTCAGAAAATATATTATTGTTTTGGGTCAGTTAGGTAATTTTCTAGCAAAAAAAAAGCATATTTTGTGGAAAATTCCAAAATTGCCCTGGTAGAAAAGTGGTTAAAAAGGTGGCCATAGACATTAGTGAATAGTCCAGCACACCCGATCCAAGTGTCTAACCCTAGGTTCACATCTGTGCGGGTGGTGTCGCTGCGGATCCACACGAAAATCCGTGCAGCTGCACCACCCGCACAGAGGAATGCAGACCGTGGATGGGTGCCATTAGTTCTAATGGGACGCCGCCTGCACTGGAAAATGGAACCGTACTGGGAACCGAGGTTCCCCTGCGGGCTGCGTTTTCAAAAGGAGTGCAGGGACTTCTTCCCTGCGTGTCACGGGCACGGGAGTCCATTCAAATGAATGGGCTCTCATGCCCGCGCCCGCAAAACGCAGCCCGCATGGCCGCATAGATGTGAACCGGGGGTAAGTGTATCTTTCTACAAATATACAAAACCTTTTTCTTCAACTTAACTCAATAGATAAATCAAACTATAAAATTAAATAAAGTCCCAAAAATTAAATTTTCAGTCTACCAAAATCTCTCAATCCTGTGTGTCCAACTTCAATATTTCCAGCATTCCGGACCCAGTGATTACCACCGCGATCATCGAAAAAATAAAACTACAATAGTGTATTACCTTCAAATAAATTTATATACTTTCCGAACAAATATCTGTGTAAAAATATATTGACATAAAATAGATTCAACTGTGAGTAACACATGAATCATGCAAAAAACACTCTGTGTACACTCCAATAAACGAATATAAATTGACAAATTGTGTACACTCAAAAAAAAAAAATATATTACTGTTTAAACCAAATCAAATTTAAATAATAAATAGCAAAAATAAATAAATAAATTTAAACAAATAAAATGAACACTCCGTGACCACCTCTAAATGGCAAGAATGCATACAATTACCCTCATGGAGTAATATCAAGCCTTACAGTTACTGGTATATTCTGCATTGCTTTTGTCCCAGTGGAGGTCTGAGGGGAATTGTGTGACACCATTTTCTCAGGAGGAAACAGTAGCAGTTGGCAAAGGCTTTCTAAGCTGTCTAATTGTTTTGTCACCCATTAATGGTCTTTAAAGGCTGTTGGGTTACATTAAGCTGTGACCTGATTTTTACGAGAGGACATCTGACCCTCAGACAACTGTCTTTATCCAGCTTGCACATCCATTTCATGGTATATTTTGGCCGAGCTACCCATAGAGATAAGTTCAGGAAGGCAGTCTACCTCGTACTAATCTATAAAGGGGAATAGCAGTTGCCCATTATGATTTGTCTAATTGACATCCCAAGATCAGGACCTGACTAACAGGGAAGTTAATTATTTAGAATTATTATCCCACTCTGCTATGTATATGGTGGGAATGCTCTAAGATCAGGCATTTCTGGGCTAGCATGTACCAATTAGTGTACCCTATTCTGATTAAAGGTATATTATTATTATTATTATACAGTATTTATATAGTGCTAAAAGGTTTGCTCAGCGCTGTACATTATAGTGGGGGACATAACATGAGACGATACAGTAACAATACAATACATGAGGGGGTCAAGGGGGTCTTTCGAGCTTACAATCTAGGAGGGAGGGGATAGTGGTAC